AGCAGGATGCCCCAGGAGCCACATGCTAGAGCAGCGGCTCTCCCCTTATCCTCACATGGTGCCTGCAACGTTAGGACACAACCGCTGCTACGGTGGTGTGAGCATGTGGAGGGATCTTTGGTTCTACTTTGTTCCTTCTTGGGAAAGGAACAGCCATGAGCACTACTGAACCCATCACTTCATGTGCCCAGCCAATGCCTTAGTCACTACAATCACAATAGCCCTAAGAATCTTACGAGTTTGTTTTTTTTTGTCAGAGGACCAAAGAGATGCCTCCTCCGAATAGCCTGGGAGAGCCTCCTGAAGGAAAGGGTGGTGGCAGTGATGGAAAAGTGCTGCAGTTCTGGTCTTCCTCAGGCCAGGAGAATATTGTGACCATATCTCCTATTTCCTGCTCCAAGGACTTCCAGTACTCTCATAATGAAGTATTTACCACCCTGCAATTCCTCATCCAGCTATTATTCAAAATGAGTCCTAAGCTACTTTTTGGAAGGAGAATGGTAAAAGCTGGACCTTCATGAGAGAAATGCAAGTTCTGGATACTTTACAAACAAAACAATTTGTGACCCTGACTCATTTGAACTCCAGACAGGAATGGATTTTAGGTCATGCCTCTCTAAACCCTTCACAGGGGCAGCTTTAAATGAGACATGTCTCAGGATTACACTTTTGGGACTGAGATTTGAGGGGCCTGTTCATCTGCTCCTCCTCTGACCTGGCTGCTCAGCGCAGCACGTTGGGATGCCGCTCGCTTTGCATGGGCCAGGCGAGTAACAGCAACTTCTGCCTTTCAACATCTCTGTCCTCTGTATCATCTTCTTGCTGGCTTCATAATCAGTCAAATAGGTTAAAGTGATTCTGTTTTGAATTAGTCATGCAGAGAACGTAAACAGAGGGCAACATTTCAAGAGAAAACTGAATTCTCATACAAGATAAAACAGAAACAATGTCTGCGTAACGCACAGTCTGTACCAGCGTACCTAATACATTTTTCATTACAAATATGAACCAGAAACAAACAATTATTTTAAGGGTAGGTTCAAGTCTGTGTATTTACTTCAGTTAGTGAAGCATCGGTAGTTGGAATTCCCATCTTTTCCTGCTGGGATGTATATTCAATATAGACTTAACAGGCACCTTGATCTCTACAGCAACATCTATTTCAGAGTTTACTAGCAACAGATTTCAGCCTCTCCACAAGCAGGAGAGGCCTTGCTCACCAGTCCTCCAAAGAAGAAAATGTTGTGCAAAGATAAATGCCAATGATCTAACAGCAGTTTATCTAGCTGAATATAGGTAAGAAAATACTTTGTGCTATGGAGAAGAAAGAAGGAAATCTGAGGTTCACACCATGGGCTGAAACAGCAGGCATAGGTGGTAAGGGACTCATCAAGCACAGATCCAGAGAATCAAGGAGACAGGTACAGACCTAGGACTGAAAAAAGAAACAAAACAAGAAATATGCACTACACTGACATGGAAATTTGCCCTTACGTGAAGGACTTATCTTCCTTGGAATCAATGAAATGTGATCAGAGCAGGTGAAGTCTGACACTTCTAATCTTTTTGTACTAGATATCACAGCTTTTCCCTCCCTAAATTACCGTATTATTTTTAGTTGCATAACTTGTGCCACTATAAATTTAGCAATTCTTTTTTGTCTTATGTTTGGCAAATTATGTGGTATGCCAAGATCTCTTTCACTGTGACTGCAGAGCTCCAAACTAACAAGATGAACAGGAACACGGGGACAAAGGTAAGACAAGCAAAGGTAAGACAAGCAAAACCCCATCATGTTCATTTAAAGCCCTGCCATCACGGCCAACTGCTTAAGGGTGACCTAGAATTACGGGTTAGGATTAAGCTGTGGTCTCCACGTTTATAAAGGAAAATCCTTTTTAAAGGCTTTATAAAGAAGGTGGGGAGATCCTAAGCATGTTGAGTTCTATTGATCTTCTGGTCATGACTATCCTGAAATTTCTGCAATTAAGAGAATCCTTACTTTGGAGAATGACGAGAAGTCTCCCATCACTTCCAATAACACTAAGCCAGAGATCCAATACCTGTTCCTGGTCTCCCTCAATATCCATTCCTGAAACAGCTACCTCCCTCTCTCCCAGAATTCGATTAGATTAGATTACAGACACTCTAAAACGCCACAATAATCATGGGTCAATTTCTAAGCACTAAAAAAAGATGGCATCGGCTGTTTTATAGGCATGCTCTATTCTCCTGAAGGGAAGAAGGCACAGTTTTTAGCAGTACACTATGAAATCACTCCAGAGGAGTTAGGAGAAGGTTACAGCAGGGAGGAGCAGCTACAAAACCAAAGACCAGGCAAGGAGCTTCAGAGGACTTGCTAATTTTGACTGTTTTCCCCTCCTTCTACAGTGATCTTCTCAGACATCCTACGCAGACATTTCCTCATGGTAGCATTACTCACACAACAACATTTAAAAAAAAGTGTGAGAAGTAAATCATCTCTTCCTTAATAGCCCAGTTCCCTCCACAGAAGTGACACGTCCAGGACTGAGGCTGCTGAACACAAAAGGCTTATCCGCATGTGGCTTATGCACACAGAGCAATACTTGTGTGGAGGGAAATCTCTTTTATTAGGTGCACTGATACAGCTGAACAAAGTGAGACCAGCTTTTGAGCGTACAAGTCGCTCCTCAGACTTGACGTGTCACGGAAACGCGGGTGCTTTGGCTGGTGCTGCTCTTCCCATCGCCACGGCGGCCGCGGCCGGACTCGGCCCAGCGCAATGGAGACCAGGGCCGGCAGCACCGCGGGACCGACCGCTGGCGGCGTTACCGACGAGCAACGAGCGGCGCGGCGGAACCGACTGCTGCCAACGGTACCGACGAGCAACGAGCGGCGCCGCCGCAGCCGGGGGCTGCTCCAACCCAGCTGGCTGGGCCGTGTGCTGCATTGGGGTCCGCAGCGTGTACCAGAAAATAAAATATTTTAGCTGCACTAAAATAAGGATAGAGTTTTTCTTCCTTTCAGGGATTGCTTCTCACACAAATCCTTCCATCAAGGACTTAAAGTCATAATGTAGCCTTTTTGTAGACAGTTCCTGTTAATCAAATTACAGACATAAAAATGCAGAATAAAATGAACAAGTAGACAGGACAAAGAAGCTGACTGACCATTGGCTCTTCTCATTTTAATGAACAAATACTTCAAGTTAATAACAGTGCATATTAAGAAATAGCATATGATACTCCCAACGCCAAACACACCAGCAAATCAGTTTCAAAAAAATATAAATTAATTGCAGAAAACCCCCCACCAAAATTGCTTAAGATCAACATGGAGAGTAATGTTCAAAAACTTCCTGTTGGTTTGCTGCATTATGTCAATTATATTCCCAGTAGTTAAACAGTAAGAGAGATCCAACATTTTGTGGCAATTAGGCTCTGCAAAAGAGCAGTTGTTTTTCTACAAATGAGTTAAGAAGTTTGCATTTATTTTCGATGTAAGGTCAAATGTTACTCTTAACTGTTACCAAGAAATTTAATCATGTCAGAGTGAAACTTCATTCCATGATTCAAAAATTCAACTAACATAGGAACACAGCATTCTGGTCATGCCCACTGGAAACATTCAGCTGAGAATAGGAAGAATTATATGGGAGCACATTTGGCTGTTACATAAAATGGCTTTTTTTTTTTTTCCCCTGGTTTCACAGCTCCTAACAATACTGTTTTTCAACACCGTTCCCAGTCATTGTTTTTAACATGGTTCATCAACATATCCTGAATCAATCTCTGATATAAATAACTCCAGTGACAAAAATCTATTATGGAAAGACACAGAACCACAAACTGAAAGTTGTACTAAATGATTTTTAAGGTGGAGCTGTAATTATCCTATAAAATTCTATGAAAAAAAACCACAGTAAAAGCAGTATCTTTAATTGACAATGGCGATATCAGAAAAATGGAGTTTAAATTTTAGAGACATATTATTGTGACTCATAGCAGGCTCTAATGCAAGACAAACACTACCAAAGCTAGAAAGAAATGCACATATAAAGCTTAGAAGTGTGATATAAAAATAGTCTCTATATTTTTTCATTTTGATGCAGTCTGATTCTCTAATGAAAGAAGATAAAATACATCTTCTTTCCTACCCCACTGCTGTACATATAGTCTATTCTCCTGATGTCAGGAAATGGGATTTCCCCCGAAAATATATCAGCCATGGGAACAACAGACCTTCTGATTATAAGGGTTTGCCTATTTCATTTTTAAGTTATATTTTCAAGCAGGTGAAATACTGATAAGATATGCATTTCTTTCACTATCAATCTACTGTGCAAGTCATATATATCAAGCCCATAACTTCAGTGCAATTGAAGTTTGTGTCACCTACAAAGGTTTGAAAAATCTACTGTGCAATTGCAACACAATGCAGATGATTTCCAGATTATGACACATTAGGCTAAATCAGGTGAGCAGGAAAAGGCACACGCTCCAGATTTAGCAGGAACTCCATGTGCTCCTTGTTACCATTACTAAAACTGCAGGAGTATAGGCTATTCTATACACTAAACAAAGTTTAGTAAGTTTGCTTCCAGGTACCTGAGGCAGCAGGGACGGCATTCGCTGCTCCTTATGGCACAGACACTACAGCCCTGTTAGCTCAGCTGAGACTTTCAACAAGCGACTGACAACTCGGATGCAAGGTAGGATACAGCCTGGTCAGGCCACATTTTAAAACTTAACATTTCACTGTGCTGCATACATTCCTCTTATGCACAAACACAGGGTGCGCAAAATAGGCTGTTTGCTCAGTAAAATTTAATGTTTTGAGTATGTAAAATAATGAGCTAATATGTAACGTAACCAAAAGATCATGCACCAGATAAACAGAGCTTCTTCCCCATGAACAGCCATCCTCAGGAACATTTTATTCTGCCTCATGTAACATCTCATGATTTGCCAGTTTACATAGTCCCTTGCAAAGAACAATCTAAATCTAAAACTAAAAAACAAAATTCTAAAAAAAAGTTTTGACTTTAGCTGCAATACAGCTGGGTTAGATGCAACTAAGTTGCTGCAATGCACCAAAGAGTAACAAAAATTCAACATGAATATCAGAAGAATAAATATACACCGTAAATTAATCTCTCTAAATACATTCACAAGTCCAGTTAAGACACCCTTATGCATAACTCACACTTTGATCTTCTGCAGATAGAAATGGTTGTTACTTCATGGGGAAAAGTTTGTCATGTAACTCGGTTTATCTGTCATTCTTCCCGCAAAACTCAGTATCAACTTTGAAAAACTACATATATATTTTCCCCAGACCAACCACACAGAGGCTTAAGTCTCAAATTCTATTATTTCCAATGTTCAATCATTAAGGCTTTATTTACACTCTTTACTATAAATTGAGGAAAAAATTTGGTGCAATGTGCAAGAAAAGATAGCACATCTCTCTGATTGGAGACTAACGCCTGCTTATGGTTTAATGCTAACCCACAGGCAGCCAATTAAAGTCCCATATATCCATGTTTTTACATAAAGTTTCCTTCCAGATTCTGTCAGCAGCATACCAGCAGTCAGGCCACCTAAAAACAGCAAAGATGGCAAAGTTTTCTTGAGGCTTAATTTGGAATGAACACCTTTTCCAGGGAACTTATTTCTTCTTTTAGAATCCTTTGCATCGTAAAACTCTATTAATAACCTAGAAGCAGACAAAAGTAGATGGTCAAATCTATGCATCAGTGCAAGAAGTTTTAAGCCATTTTCTTTCATTCAAAATCTGTTTTTAATCACACATAATCTAACAAATTTAGTTCAACAGTATGTACGACTCATCTACAACAAGTTTAAACAATGAACATGTTTTGAGAATATGCTGTATTTATCAAAGCAATGTTACACAATCAGTACTCAACCTGAACCCTTGTGAGCAATAAAATCAGCTTTTTCCTAAGGGAATAATTTTAGCATTGACTATAAAAGTTTAAAAGAATCTTTTTTTTGGCACTCAGCAAATAAGCCCAAAATATTGGTCAATACTACAAGATTAAAATACCACACAGTTAACCACTGAAAAGCATAGGAAAAAAAAAGTGCATTCATGATACAAATTAATAAATATAATTAGAGCTGATAATACTAAAAAAATTGGAATCAATAATGCAAGAGTAAAATGCTAAACCTAGGAGTATTTTTTCTGTTGTATTTGAAAAGCAATAATAAATACATTTAAAAAAGGGGGTTTTGTTTCAAATCTCTCTCAGTTCACATGACAGTCTGCTTCGGTACCCTGAGAGGCTGATTTGGAAGCTCCAGTCAAAAGGAATCTAAAATGAGACGCAGATGATCAGGTCAAACTTGCTAGTCTGCACCAGAGGACTTCCTGTGGGACAGTAGACTAGCCATTTATTTTACTATCACTTCCTTGTCTATAAAATGAAATCAAGACTTTCTTGGCTCTAACTGAGGGAAATAAAAAGCAGTTATTCTAAGCTGATGATACATTTTGGTAGTAGTGCCATGTTTACAGACAGGCAACGCCTATGAATATCACGGGTCAAATTCATCCATTCCTTTACTCCCATGGTATGGTAACAGTGGAATTTTAAACAAGAACATACCTAAAGAACTGGCAAATCTTTTACTTACATATGTATTTAGGGATTTGGAAAAGAGACAGATTCATCTCCCCTAAATCTGATCTTCAGACAAGGTAAATTAAGCTATCATCAAATAATACTTAAATCCCACAGGCACATTAAAAAGAAAATAAACAGCAGATCCTCCAAAAGGGGCCTAGAATCTGTTGCAGATGCTTGCTAGCAACCTTATCTGGAGATGCTGCATGGAACCAGGCATTTAAGTTTTGCCATGATTCAATAGTGGACAGAAAAATCTTCTACTTCATTTATTTTTTCCCAATGAAGGGAGGGATCTTTGTGTCACTTCTGTTTTTATCCAGTCTCTCTGATGGAAGATGCAAAAACACGTTGGCAGAAGAGACCTGCTGCTTTCTAACTCAGCATCCTGATCGCTGGGCTAGAATCATGCTCCCTTTTCCTTGCTTGCCTGCCTCAGGAATCCAAGGCTCCTGGTCATGTGTGACAGCGTCAAGAAGAAAAATGGAAAGTATTCAGGCAAATGGAGCCCCTCATGGAAAAAGGATTCATGGTTGTTTTTTGGGTTAAGGAGAACCTAACACCCAAGAATCGCAACCTCCTGAGCAACAGCTTTACTCAAAAGGTTGTTGTTCAAAATATCCACAGAACTACCAACACCAGCGGTGCTACTCCGTCCAGAAGAGTAATGACTGGTCAGAAGTCACCAGGGGTATTCCACAATCAATTTGGAACAGGGAAAATAGTTTGTAATCTTCATTCTCTCACTGATATATTTACTGCAGCAGACAAATGCAACCACAGGAATGAACCTAGAACGTCTTAGATTGCATTCTGCTAATATAAAAGAAATAAGCAAGCTTCCTGAAAGAGAAAGTTCTGAATATGGCTACTCACTTATCCTTTATTTCAAACCGTTCATGAAGCCATCTTCTCATATACATCTGTTCTTCTGGAATGTCCTTCAGTTCAATTCGTTCAACGAAAATATGAACTCTTGGGCATTCCTTGCAAAGAAATTCTAAAAAGACAGCAAAACAACAGAACTGAGTCACAGATACCATGCCAAGCATTCATTCATCTAAAATACTCTGACCTTGCAGCTGTAAATTCAGTTTTCAAAAGCCTTTTTTAATGTTTGGGTCCCAAGCACTTTACTGAACTGAAGCTCTCTGCATTCATACTTTTGCAGTATGGCCCCCTGTCAGGTGCTAAAAAAGCAGCCGGCTAACTATAAAATGTAGTACTTGAAAATGCTACACTTCTACCTCAGCAGCCATTTGAAGAAGAATCCCATTATTAATGTGGGATGCAGTAACTTGACAGAAAGTTACCAGTTATCATTTTTGACTAAAGCCAGTAACCCTCTTTTCTTGCATGTTTAGATTTTCTTGTATGCTTGTTGCTCGTGGATGAATTAACAGTGGCTTCCCCAAGCATCTCCAGAAGTAATTAGGTTTCAATTTAAGTTTTAACCTATAATGAAAATGTGTAAGAGAGCAAATTATATTCTCAGAAGAACATTCTTCTTTTCATTTTCTATCTCTTTTTTTTTGCTGCCATGTACAGTGTTAGAAAGCTAATGACAAGCCTCCTGCAATTCCCCTCTCTCAGCACCATAAATTCATCCTTCAGCAAACACTAAGGCAGCTACAAGCAAAACTGAGTCACCCAAGCAGCTTTGTGAGATCTCTTACAACTAACCAGTGGTAAAATCACTGTGTATGGTATGAAAAAAAACACCCGATTTGGGGACTGACAATAATTTATATCTATCAGTAGTATACAGTAGGAACAGCATAGCTTAACTTCACAGCCACAGAATCCTTGTACAGACACACACATGACGGAAGCACTTTGATATTTGGGCAAGCTTCATATTTTGGAAAGGGATTAGGGGCACCCTCCTACAACTCAGATGGGCAACAAATGCAACACATATGGGGTGGCCCTTTAGGCTGTTAATGTTTTCTTTAGACAGCAACACAGATGTACAGAAGAGACCCAGAGCTGTTAGGGATATCTTGAAGAATGACTGTGCAAAATAATCACCACTGCCTGAACATCTTTATTACTGTCTGCCAAAGCAGATCACCTCCCATTTGTTTTTCTTCTTTACAGGATCTTTCATTTCCAAGGACTTTGCTGTCAAAGCAATCCTTATCATACTATCACACCAGAAACTTATTTAAGGAACTTTAGAAGCCAGTTCATGCAAATGGATTTGGGTGCATGTAGAGGGGTAGGGAAGGAGATGAGGTAAAGGGACCAGCAAAGCCCCGTGACAATTTGATGCAGACATTTACAAGGTGCTCTGTGCACATCTGTGCAGGCCTCGGGCACAGACACTCACCGGCCTGCTCCTTAGCATCAAGAGAACAAGGCCCAAACGTCATTAACTCCTATTAAATGGCTGAGGGCCCTAATTAAAAAGCACCACCTCATGGAAACAGAACTGCCACTAAATAAGATACTTTTTAAATTTTCCTGGCCCGCTGTCTCCCTGCTCCAGCTAGGAGTTGCTGCTGTTAGATGCTGGGCAAGTGAGGTAGCTGGAGGACCAGAATTAGGGTACGTACAGGATTGTGTTTCCAGGTTTGCACGCAGGGTTTGGCCAACCTCCCCCTGGTCAGTGGTCACGTATCACTGGCTGGCGTCTCCTCGTGCATTATTCCTCATTAATGGTGAGGAATTCTGCAGGTCTGCTTCTCTGAGGACACAGCCTGATGGGATTCCTGAACTAAGCCCTTCCCTCACCATATGAAGGTCATTCACAGTACAAGCATCTAAAGGCACACTACGAGTATTTTAAAATTACAGATGTATTATCCATGACTTAAATGCTTGTAATGTACACTGACGTAAAAATCCTCTTTCGGGTGATATTAACAATAAGTGGAACATTCCAAAAATATGCAAAATTATCTTATAGAAAATAAATGCCAGTAAGCTGGATTGTAAGGTCTTTTCTGTATTAGATATTCTATAGAAAACATCTTTGCAAAAATGAGGTAATACATATGCTCACAGTGCTAAGCATGCTGAAGGGCTGAAGATCCAGCTTTAAGAGGTATTTAAAACATTATTCTGTGCATTGTACAGTACATGTTTCTACTGCTTCACATTATAAGAGACAAACGTCTCTTTCCTGATATTATTTATAATTCCAGTGATAAATTATTTAAAAAATTACAAAACAGAAGCAAAATTTAAGGCACATGATAGCATGGTTAATAGATGCATGGCATTTTTAAAACTACTGATATGCTCCTTAAAAATATTGACATTTGGTCACTTAATAATAACAATATATCACTGATATGCTCCAGTTAACAAGAAAGGAAGAAGGCACAGATATTTTGAAAGAAGCGCTTTTCCTCCACCTGAGTCTGAAATTTAGCGGTTTTACCAACCAGCTTAGAAAGCAAACAAAAATACCACAAATATCTATGGATTGCTGCTGGTTTTCTACTTTATATCCAAGTCCCAAACCATGCTGATTCTTACTGCTATCCAGTCGAAATTTAATCCACTGAGCTGAAGATCCCAACACTTCCTCTTCGTTTCCCACCTATATAAAACCCAGGATCATCCTTCACTGCCTCACCCAGCCTTTTAGTTGAACGCAGCCTCCCATGACAGGGAATCAAAACTAGCACCCATCAATTTGGGGCCATTTCGTCCAGAGCCCAGACACCCAGTACATGTGCAGAAGATGTTGCAATGTATGCAACCCACCTGGTCAGGGAAGTTGACTAGACTTTAATTATGCAATTCATTTCAGTGTTTAATGTGACTAATCTTTTTAAGATTAACAGTGTCACTGCAATCACTTACGAACACTAGTGGGCAAGAACAATTTAGTCAGTTGTTGTTTTTGAAAAGAAACAGCTGGATTTTATCACCACAATCTCTAAAGGTTTGTGGTGGTCCTGTGACCCTTAATTTCACTTCGGCTTAACTCCCTAAAGACTTATGTAATTAAGCTAAGAAACGAAATCTTATTGAAGCCATTTATTATGGACAAATTACATCCAACTTCGGGGATCTGATAGGCTTCTCTGATCCCTAAACTTACCAGAATTTGTGATAATCAACAGGAGGAGCAAACAAGCCTAAACTTCCCTTCAACATGCAAAGTGCAAACCATGTTTTATAATCAATTATTATATTGGGAACAGTGTCAGTCAATCAAGAATTAAGTATGTTTTGGATTAAATGAACATTAACAACTTATTCTGTAGCTAAGCCAATGGTCATTCATGTGGTCAATCATGAAATATCCCACCTTCTGTCAAAATAACAGATATGAGTGCAAAATGTTTATAATACTTCTAAGCTCCAATCACAGTAGAAGGCAGAAATTTAAAATAATATAGTGGATCTAGCATTTTTGTTCTTAAACTATGAAAATCCAAACCATTTGCTTGCTGGAAAAAAAAATGTATCAATACAGTATTGAAAGATTTAATGTAGAATTTAGCTTAATGGAAAAGGATGCAACAGTCTCTAAGGAAGGAATCATATCCCCCATTTTTTTTTTTTTTTTTTTTTAAGTTGTGAACGCATATATTGCACGCAGTGTTTTGCTAGCTGGGACTTCAGAAAAAAAAATGCATCAGTTTCATCAGTTTTTAATTCCTAGTCTTAAAAATATATATATAAATAACAACACTGTTAAGAATTATCACCATTACTGGGAAGACTAAGGAAATGAGAGACGCTTCAAAACCTAAACACACCAGTATCTCCAAAAGGACATACAACTGGCTTCAAACCAGTCTTCCCTTAATGCTATCACAGAATTTCAATTGACCACTACTAATTATTTGTTTTACCTCTTAATAAAGTTGTGACAGTGATGTTACCTTAAACAGATATTCCAGTTTTCAATTACTAAAATACTCTATCATATTTAAAGTACATTTAAAAATAACAATGAAGTAATTCAGATTGCAGCCTCCTATGTCTGCTCTTTGGCAATAACTACATTGCAGTAAAAGTTCTTTAAAATTAAAAATGGACAAAATGAAGCCTGATATAATCACAACTACATGTAAAACAGCACCCATTCTCTTCTATCTTAACAGACTTCATCAATGTTTATAATAAGATATTATAGGAGATTATTTAAATCTGAAAAATGTGTTTTTATTAAAAATAACTCATATTTCAAGTGTTTAACAGTGTATTTCTTCAGTAACAGAACACTGTGTGCTCAAGTGTGTATAGTTTTACAACGGCAAAATGTAACAGCAAAGGCACATTCCTCCCTGAACTGTAGATTTTTTTTTTTTTTAAAAAGTTTGTAAAATCATTAGCCTAGACCTATGTGTTCACAGCAACACTTAGTATTTTCTCAAAGAAATAAATCTTACTGTATTCATTTACACGGTATCTTAAATTAAACATTCATTTTGCTAAATGATTGCAAGAGCTGCAGCGTTCCTCAACTTGACATCTACAGCCACCTCAAGTGTAGCTGACAAGAAACTATTAAATTGCTTTCATTAACTAAATAAGGTGGTGGTAGAGAAAACCACCCTAGGCAGGAAAGCAGACGTCCAGGGTGCAGGGAAGATTGTTTTGACACGTTAACCTGAGGATGCACCTGAGCGGCTGCTGGCCCTGACCCTTGTAGGGAAGCAGGATGACAAGGGTGTGAAGAGGGGCACGCATTAGGAAGCATGGTAAGACCGCAGAAGAGAAGCTTAAAAAGTTCTTTGTACTCCTTTTTCTTACTGAAGATATGGGGAGATTCCTACAGCCACCGCATTCCGTCTACCACCTCACTCACTGGAACCAGATCAATTTGAAGCAACCAGACACTACCGGACTGTATAAACAAGTTAGCAGGAAATCATCAGAAACACAGGACCCTCAAACATCCAAGAGCCCTCAAATGTGAAATTTAAAACCAAATATGTGTAACTTACCAACAGAAAGAGCCACATGCTACAAACATGAGACACTTCTCTCTTAGAAATAAGGGCTTTTGAGATGATTTTGGGAAATACATAC